CTTCTTTTCTCAACACGTTTCTTGTGACCCTGTTGACTATTTGCAACAAAACGTTTGATGGTTCTGTAGTCACGTCCAATAGTAGCAATTTCAAGAGTGCTGCATCCCTCTGAAAGACTTTTTACAATTTTTGACTTTTCAGAGTCACTTACATCTCTTTTTTGGCCCATTTTGCCTGAGGAAAAGAAGCTGCCTAATAATTATGCCCACCTTGATATAGGGTTTTGATCTCCTTAGGCCACACCCTCCCTCATTACACAAATATACATCCCCTGATATGCTTATATCCAATAAGCATTCAGGTTTATACAGCTTGGAGGTGGAAAATATGCATAAAAATGATGATACAGTCAAGATACTCACTTGCCTAATAATTGTGCACATGGTGTAGTTGTTTTAATCATCAAGGGTTGTTTCTCAATAATTCTATTGTGATATAATTCTTCAAATATAAGTGAATATTATATTTTTAGGTAACAGCTATTAGATACATCTTTAGAAAAATAAAATCTCTTTCATTGAAACCTTCTAGGAAGCTCATAGAAGAAATGGAGGAGAAACAAAAAACTAACAAGGCTGAATTAGAGAGAATGCAACAAGAAGTAGAGTCACAACGTAAAGAAACTGAAATAGTTCAGCTGGAAATCCGAAAACAAGAGGAGAATCTTAAGAGGAGAAGCTTTCATATAGAAAACAGGATGAAAGATTTATTGGCAGAAAAAGAGAAATTTGAAGAAGAGAGATTAAGGGAACAGCAAGAAATAGAGCTTCAGAAAAAGAAACAAGAAGAAGAAATTTTTGGTAGAGTTAAAGAAGAACTTCAGCGATTACAAGAGCTTAATCAAAACGAAAAAGCAGAGAAAATGCAGATTTTTCGAGAACTGGAGAAGCTTAAAAAGGAAAAAGAAGAACAGTATTTCAAATTAGAAGTGGAAAAAAAGCGGTTGGAAGCTCAGGAGAGAGATCAGGCATTGCTGGTGGCAAACCTGGAAGAACAGCTTAGAGACAAACAAATCATGATACAGCTGCTAAAAAGAGGAGATCTGCAACGAGTTGAAGAAGAGAAGAAGAACCTGGAAGACATCAGAGAATCTCTTTTGCGAGTCAAAGAAGCCAGATCTGAAGCAGAGGAGGACTACGAAGAGTTAGAAAAGGTACAGTGTAACTTCATGGATTTTAAGAGGAAACAGCTAGAACAGCTGACTAGTTTAGAGGGAGATTTGGTTCAAGAAAGAAATCATCTAGAAAAACAGATAACCGAAGAACAAGAAAATCTGGATCATTTAAAACAGGCACACACAGAGCATTTAAATCTTGACAAGAACACGCCAGATACTGCACTAGCTGTTGAAGAATGTAACAAAATAAGATCATGTGAATATAGGTTGCGCCATAAAGAACGACAGCTTCTGTATCTCATTAATAATCATTTACCAGCTTTGCTGGAAGAAAAACAAAGAGCTTCTGAAGTTTTAGACAGAGGCTTGCAAAGCTTGGACAATACACTTTATGAGGTTGAGAAAGAAATGGAAGAAAAGGAAGAACAGCTTGCCCAATACAGAGCTAGTGCCAGTGAGCTGCAGCAACTTCAAGAAACATTTGAATTTACTGCCAACATAGCTCGTCAAGAAGAAAAGGTTTGGAAAAAAGAGAAAGAAATTCTCGAATCAAGGCAAAAACAGCAACGGGAGGCACTGGAGCAAGCAGTTGCTAAGTTGGAAAGGCGGCACTCTGCTCTACAGCGCCATTCTACCATAGAAATTGAGGAGCAAAAGCAGAAACTTGCAACTTTGAACAGCAGTTGTAGGGAACAGGCAGGCTTGCAAGCAACAGTGGAGGCACAGCAAAAAGCCCTGGAACAAGACCGAGAAAAGTAAGAAGAATCAGTGTTGCCCTGAATGTATGCACAGGCACAGATCCACATTCCCCATAGTTTCATTGAAAATAGTTAGTTTTAGTGCTGTAATACCAAGGGGAAGCATCCTGATTTTATTGTAATTGTAGAGTCATCTTCTCAGGAGGCTGTTGGGTCAATAAACCCAATGCAGCATTGCTTCCTATGTAAATAAAGGTTTTTGAGGAACAATGTTGACAGTACTGCATTTGAGGAAGAAAAATCCCCTCACCCCATTTATATTTAAAAATCAAGCATGTTAAATGTAATAATACTTCCCAGATCATGTATAGCTTTGCCCTTAAATAGGTTTTAATTCAGTTTCTTGGCTTCTGTTTTGTTTACAAAACCATTACTTTCTTTTAAAAAGTTTTTTCCGTCCCTTTAGGAAAAAACCTGAAGCCCTGAAATATTATGGTATAGAGTAAAATCTATTCTTATTTAGGCTACTCTGAGGAAATGTGGACCAGGGCGTATGTGGAAATCAATTTATGTAAATGTAGTTCTACAGAAAAGAATGAGTGACCCTGGCTTTATCTTTGTAGTTGAATATTCATATCTGAATAATGAATACAGTCATTTTTGTAGAAAGCAAACTCTTGCAAATGTTCTATGGTAACTTTTTTAAATATTTTTTTTACTGCTTTTTAATTAATGCCAAAAAGAAACACAAAACATAAAACACAAAAGTAATAATATGCTATCAAGAAGAAAAAACTTTTAAAAAGTGCTATTACAGAAAAGTGACAAAAATACAACAAAAACCTTAACATGGTATACCATTATAACAGTAAATAGTTACAAATCTATATATATTTATCTTATGCAAATATTATTCAGCTGCATATATATTTCCAACACATTTATGTGACAATCATTTTTTTAACCTACTGTATTTTGTATAAATGAGTCCCATATTTCATTATACTTATCCATACAAAGTCTACATCTATAGGCAGTCGTCTCATAAGTGGCAAATGCAATCATGTCTTCAATCCGTTGAGTGAATAGGGGCATACGTTATGGCAAATATTCTACGGTAACTTGATGGAGCTGAAGAAGCCAAATTTAGAAAAAGTTTTGTATTAGTAAAAATTCTTTACTACTTTTTTCTAGTGCAAATTTTAGATGATGACTGTGTGTGTGTCATATGCAGCAATATGCGCAGATTATTTTGTTTTGGACTGGTAGAAATATGAGATAGCATATACTTGAAAAAAATAATTGAAAATCCTGAACGTTAGTCTTCCAAACCAAATAATCTTGGTTTTTATTTTAATAGTACAGTTTTATGGTAGATTTCAATGAGGCACCAACTGACAATAAACTTTCAGATATACTTAAAAGCATCTATATTCTTCAGCAGTTGGAATGCTTAAAAATGTGTTTTCATCTACTGTAATTTAATACCATATTTTGACTTTTGCTCGTTCCTGTAGAATGATTGAAATCATGATTGAAGTTCTAAAATAAAGCAAGTTTGACAGGTGTTACTAATGATCTAAGACTCATAGATAACTCTACCTTTAAGAAGCTATTTCCTTTGAAAATTGCTACTAATCATTTGTTTAATATATTCTCATCCAGATGTAGTTCCCCACTGACAAATAATTATTTGATATTTAAGCAGTTTAAATACTTCTTTTTGTTAATATATCTATGTATTGAAGAAATGTTCACATCTGGGATAATATTCTGATTTAATTATTGTATTGGCTCTAGTCTCATGTCTGCCAACTTACACTTGGAGGTAAACATGCTTTGAAACAATACACTAAAAGTAATGTAAAAAAAAAAGATCTACTTAAGGGAGTATTATAAGCATTTTACAGGCAACTTATTTTTGCCTGGTGACACCTTTCCTACCCAACTCATCTTATTTGTGGTAAAGACTGTTATATAACCCCCCATTTTCACAGCTAAGTTTGAGAAACCCTACTGTGTTGATGAATCTTAAAGATTATGTGTTCAACTTTGTTGACAGTTTGGACTTGCAAATACAGCAGTTAAAACAGAAGATATATGAAGGTGATAGAATTGAAAAGGGGTATCCTGGAGTTGTAGAAGAGAGACTGTCTCATAGTAGTTCCCCTTCTAACATTGCAAAATCACAGACTCATTTTATGCCATTGGTTGATGACAGGTAAGTATACCCGGTTTTCTACTTTAAACAGATCTGTAACTAAGTTTTACTACTAAAGTGTTTTTAGATTATGCATCTTTAATAATATTGCTCGAATTGTACTGTAACACAGTAATATGGCATGGCTGTTTTGCTTTGAAAATTTGAAGTGTTTCCCAAATAAAATTTTGAACTTGCTTTAGCTGAAATATTTAAAATTGATCCCAGGGACTTGTACAATTTTCTGATCATCTTTTTTTCAACACTTGGGAAATGTGACTCTCTGTGCCTGCCCACCTTACAAACCTTATAGCCATCCATAGCTATAGGCACTGATTTTGTGCCTTGGTAACATTCACACAACAGGACAACCCCAACCTCAACCTCCATGCATTATTTGCTTGGGTTTAATGTGTTGGGTGACTCTAACTCCATATTTATTTTCTATTCTAAATAAAATCTCCAGGACAAATGCAACCAGGCTGTGTCTCTCTTCCCTGTTGCCATTTGTCTCCTTTCTTTCTTCCTTCCCCAGGACCCAGAGCTCTGCAGATAATATTATTCTCTGTCCACCCACTTTTCAACCCTTTGGCCACCCAGAAATTTGCAGCCTCAGTTGAACGCAGCCCCCCATAGGGTCATAACCTGCAGTTTGAGAACCCTTGGTTTAATGCCATATAATCAAGGGAATGTGAAATGTCCCCCAATAAATAAAGAGCTAAATCTTTCCATCACCTCAGCCGCTTGAGGTTGTTTTATAAAAATGATCTACACATATACCATATATCCCTTCCTCCTCTCTATCAACTATAAGATAATGCTCTCTTTTTATTATAAATAAGTAAATCTCAAAGTGAGAACTAGAAATCTGTGCTGCCAGTCGTCTTGTTGCTGTTGAAAATAATACTGTAGTAAATCCCCTTTTAAATTTTAATGGGGGATTGGTATTGATGGCTCTGTATGTTTTAACTTAATAGGGGAATTGACTGTTACCAATTTTTTTGCTGAGTACCATTAATAACTGTAGTAAACTTAAAAGTAGAGCAAGCAGTTTTTGCTGTAGTTTTAGAGACATCATGGGTTTTATAGCCTATCCAAAGCAGGTAACAATATATTAATGCTATAAATCTGCTAGTTATTAAACTACAATCATCATGTCCTATCCCTAAACACCAAAAGCCATTGAGATCAATATCTGTTTTATGAAAATAAATAGCACAATGATTCTTCAGTTCTGTGTTCTAGATTACCCGAGTAGCAGTGTTCCAAAGGTCCTTTTCTAACTAATTCTTTCTATTAATCTGTGATGTTTAACATTTCTAGAATAAATACCTTTATTGAAGAAGAAGTTCAAAGACGCCTTCAAAATATTCAATACAGCTCTGGAGAAAATAGTATCAATCATTTACAGTCTATGGAATGTACAAGGGTGAGAAAATACAATTGTTGGTTTTTAAGTTTATAATCACTTCTAATCTGGCAGTCTTTTGGGGAAATCATATTTCCTTCATTTTCTCCAGAGAGTTGATGTCTTAACATGATGTAAGAAAGCAAAATTATTCCTCATGAATGAAAGATGTTGTTGTGGTGGATGATGAAGATAATGTAATCTTGATGATGACGATAATAGTAATGCTTCATATAGTCTAAAATCCATGTTAATTTAGAAATAACAAGATGGTTTATTGATTTTTGCTTAGTATACCAAAGATTACACTGTGTGTGTGTGTGTGTGTGTGTATGTGTGTGTGTTTATTTGAACAGGGAATTTACTTATCCTCAATTAAGTCTTGAAAATCTATTAATATAACTTATGCTAGCTGATCTCTGAAAATCTAAAGAACAAATGGACCACACAAAAATATTGCAGGGTGACCCTCATTTATATATGCTGTGATAGTTATCCTCACCTTCTCCCAAAAGTGTGAGGCTCCAAGGCCATTATGCATATTGGTAGAAGAAAGAGGTACAAGAATTTAACCTTGCCTCTTGCATTTTACAATTTGCAGTTGCTAGATTGCTTCTTTACAGCTTTTCTAGGTTTTGTGCTAAACATAAGTTATCAAAGTATTATATCCTTGAATGACTGCCCTGTGAGCCTTCTCTTCTAGTATCAGCCAGAAGAAGCTTGATAGTAAATAATATTAGCTAATATATAGCTAAATGACGATAAATAGTACTAAATAGACGGCTTAAAAAAACTGGGCACAAGTCGCATGAGACTGAGAAAGTAGGAGTGCTCATGGTCTAGGACAGTGTTGTCCAAACTTGGCCACTTTAAGATGAGTGGACTTCAACTCC